TTTTCATTTACCTATCAATAAAAAAAGACAAAAAGCATGGGTCAGTACTCAATATAGGTAGCTTTCACCAGATGACTTCACTGACAACCTGGCAATTAGCCAAACCAATTGGCTGACATATTCACATGATAAAACTTTCCCAAATATAATCCAGCCAAAACACTTAAGTGTGCAGTTAAAACTTATTTATAGATTTTTAAGGGTAAAATAATTGACATCAACTGACATGGGCATTAGGCATGAATGAAACATTCACCAGAATCTATGAACAGAACAAGCATTCACATTCACACTGAAGAGACATCACACATGACAACATGTGTGTCCAATGGCCCTAGGTTTTGAAGGCAAGCAGTTTTACTGTGTAGGTACTGTGGAAAACTCGCGCAACAGGCCAGCCCCCACATTACCACTCCGAGCCACTGGGCCGCCAGCACCCAGAACACGCGGACAAGGCTGGGTCGGCCTGACAGTGACACTGGAGGCATAGACGTGGCTCGCCAGAGCCGCCTCTGGACCAGCCGACCACGGAAGAAATTGAACCAAGGACAAGGACACACAGCTGCCGGGTACCGACAGCGCCTGAGGCAGAGGGCGGGCAGCCCGAGTGGCGAGGCGCATGACGTAACGAGGCGCACCCTGGGTGGGGACTGCATCAGGGCTGGGTTGCCAAGGGCCTGAGGCTACCCCGCCCCTGGACCGCTCAGGTCGACGACAAGTCTGACAAGATGCCGATGGTGGTGCTGCATGGCCCCTCCTCCTGACAGCGAACTGGGGAGGGGGCGAGGCTGGCCATGGCACTGCCATATAAGAAGCATGCGCTCGGCAGTCTTCAGAGTCTCAAGCCGTCAGTCTACAGCCTTCAATTGTCTTAGTCATCTTGACCCATCAGCCGAGACCGAGGCCGCTGGGCGCTCTAGTGTGTGCGAGTGCAGTGATAGTGATTGAAACATGTAAGTACTGACGCTGGTTCAACCACCATCCACCCATGCTGATGGCTCGCTGGTCAGAGCGCGAATGGATTGTGAATCAATTTTCGATACAGCTTTCAGACTCATTTGACTTACCCCTTGGCCTTTCCTTGAGAAACAAATCTACAGTTATGTCACCAATTGTCGTTTCAATAACCACAGACATTGATAAAATCCGCTGATCGCCGCTCACATATTTATAAATCCCACAATAATCTCATTCATCTTCGACTAGGTGAGTTGACATCACACATCACACCGCCCCCTGCCATTGTCGCGTTTTGAAATTGGGTTCAATCAAAAACGTTTACACTCATTTCGTTCAAATTTGAATGCGCATCTAGTTAGCCGCTTGTTGCTAGGCAATTACTTGTTTTTCCTGCTGATTTTCTCTAGTTGCCTAGCAACTAGCATTCTAGTTCCTCCAAAGAGCTCTTTATGAATAAGACCAACAGTTATTGAATGTAACAATTGCGCCAGAACTATCTTTGGTAGCTGAAGGAAAGCCTTTACTAAATTAAATTACGCGTAATCTTGCGTACCTACTTTTGTTGTAAGCGAGATATTTGATAGATACGATACATTGCGTTGATTTTCTCTTGTCTGCTAAGCCTATTTTCTTCGCAGAAACATACTCATTTTTATAGATAATTAAGGCAATTTCTATTGCAATTCCATGTTTTGAAGCCGAGGGCAGCAAGTAACTAGAGCACCTGGTACTCGATGATTCTATCAAATCGGGCAGATCCGGGCTCGAGTGGTTACTGGTTACCTAACGTCTCGCGAAGGTACTCAGCTGTCACCGCTGGTTGCTTTTTGCAACGACGCGCCGTATTTCGCCCGTAGGACTCTGTTGAGAATGGAAGGTTGGTGGAGGATCCACCCTTGTGGAGGACCCACCCTTTTACAGTGTATTCATATACACTGTGGACCCACCTGTAGTGGCTCACACGGTGTCAATTTGGACCATCACATCTTGGGACTGTCTAGTAATGCTTGGAGTGGTTCTAGCGACCGTCACCTGGTTCTCGTGAAGACTCCCAAAGGTCGATAACATTTCAACGAGGAGTCACAACTGGCTGTAAGCCGCAAGAGGAAGACGGGTATCAAAAAGTGAACCCCTTCACAGCAATTAAAACACAACGTGTCTCCGTGGGCGAGCTGGAATTGCTCATTACACTACAAACATGGTCGTTAATTATACATTTGTTGAGCAATGACATGAACCTGTCAAATGCTCCTTTCTCAATAATATACGCTACGACATACATCATCGTCGTCGATAAATTAGTATTGTGCATTATGGCCAAATTATGACGACATGCGTTGAGATCAGTGTGTTGTTCGGTGACGTTCAGTTGGGATCCTGGTGGCCGTAGCTGACCAATCGCCGTTGAACTCCACATTAGCAATAACAAATCCGTTAACAATTAAATGCTCGCAATAGTGTGAGAAGTGTATTCTGGATTAGGAATAACCGCCGTCAAAAAGCCAATCAAGGATAATCCAACAACTCCCATCCTTTCATTGTCGATCAGCTTATGGCCTCTGCGCCATCATTATCGTCCTAGATCTAGCATCCATCAAATCTGGAGTAGTTCAAACGCTCCAAAAACAGCACACCAAACAAGCCAATGGCTAAAAGCTAACCAAATATTAGGACGCCTGTTCGACAGAGCGCAATAACAGTCACGTTCAAAGGCCAGTTTTTGAACTAACCAGCATCACAAGCCAACAACGATAAGCTAGGACAAGCAGCAATGACAAACGTCAAAGAGACAATATCACCAGCTAAAAGGCACGGTTGATATCATATCACATCTATGATTAACCCTCGCCCGCACATGCCCCCCCCCCCCCCCCCAGGCAGTCTTTCTGCTCTGCACTCAACATTTTTAGAGCTAGAAGGCTGATTTTTCGTATAGCTGCTCGTCTATCCTTTCTTGATGTCCACTGAAAATTTCAAGTTTCTGTGATTTTTGGTTTCGGAGATATGACCTTGTTTTTCAGGTCATGTCATGACCCAAATGGCCAATTCTCAACATCTTGCGTTTGCCATGGGCCTTGTGAGCTTTTGACACCCTGATTTCGGCCTTTTTTGCCAGTCTTACCTCCCACCTATCATGGAACATGTTGTTCGACGATGTACAGGGGTCAAAGTCAGGGTCAAGGTCAACCTAGGTCATCTAAGATAATTGCGTTTTAGGCAAGCTGAATTTACTTTTTGTGAAGTTTTTTGACTGCATTTTTGGTAAAAGCTTCTCAGATCATAATTTCATGTGATATGGACCCAAAAACAATCGGTGCACACATCAGTATACACACAGACACACACAGACATACAAACACATATAATTGACCTTGACCTAACTTGACCTGAAATGACCTCAGCAGCAAAATTCTGGTCGGATAGTGTGACAAAGAGGTTCTAGCTGGCTTGGCACCAGAAAACAGCATCGTCATCGGTATTCGATAAGCAGCGTACTTGATATCCAACGGTGACCCAAAACAGCAACATTTTTTAGTTTGACCTGACCTGGAAGGTCAATGACTGACCTGAGAAGGTAAAACTGGGTATCATTGGATTCGTCTCTTCCCAAAGAATCTTTTTGGTCTTTACTGCTAAGCTCTATCTCCAACAGGAACGAAATGGCGCGGGGGGGGGGGGGTGGCAACCCCCCCCCATGTGCGTTCTAGGATGGGAAAATGGCATGTGCGGGCGAGGGTTAAGGCACTGGGCAGCGAAAGTCATCCCTGAAATCCAGATCAGCAAGCAAGAGGAGTAATGGAATGAGCATAAACTTATTTTAAGAGGTTCATCTCTATCACATAAGTCCTATCAATAAAGTTGAGACATCAAACCAACCAAGGCAAAGTATAATCATCTTGCCGTTGTAGCAAGGAATCACACAAATAATAAATAGCAACATCTAAGTGGAAACACGTAGCAAGAATGATCGAGCGACAAGTCGCTTCATTGTGCGTCACTTTAAGATCTGTTGATAGCTAGCACATTCTGAATTAAATAAACTCTCAAACAAAATGGTACTTGCAGGCAAAATTACATAAACAACAACCAGCTAATATCAAATCGGACCTAGGGTGGCCGTTAAAATCAACGTAAAACACAGCGCATGATGTTTGCGCAGGTGCGTGTACCGAATATACGCAAGTACGCTGTTTTGTTTCCAGACTAGCATGACTCCTGGTTCGATGGCCGCCGCACCGGCTGCTGGCTCACGGGCCGGGCGCGCCGGTCCCTGATCACAGGTCGATGTTGCTGCTGACACTCCGTCTGAGGGAGAGGTTGCGCCGGCGGCCCGTCTGCTCCAGCTCGCCCAGGGTCTCATCCTCGCCGCCCTTTACTGGAGACATGCGGCCGAACCAGAGCTCCCGCTGGGGGCACACGGAGTAACGTCATATCGGGTAGGCGGCGTTAGGCAGGGTTCACACGACAAACAGACGGAGTCGGGTGGGGTCGACAGCAGGCAGAGTACGGTATCAGGTCGGGTCACACGGCTCACAGACGGGGTACACAGGCAGTAGTGTCACACAGGCAGTAGGGGAGGCCTCACAACGTATATACAGATGGGTCAGGTGTGGTCACGACAGACACATTGTCAGCACAGCTTCACAGTCTAATTACAAAAGGTACCAGGTACCAGGGACAAAACAGTACCAGGGACAAAACAGTACCAGGGACAAAACAGTAGCAAAGTCGGTATCGAGCCGATGAATGTGATTCATTAACATATGAAGCACGCGTGCAGGCTAAAGACAACAGCCAACAAAAGTACATAAAAATAAGGCATCGACGCATCGCGCACGCTATTGTCGTGGAGTGGCTGCAAGCGTATTGCGTAAGACAAAGTATGACGACGAGGCACACACACAGCAGCGCTGCACAAACTCGGTGTCATGGGAAAGGACGGCGGCGGCGGCGGCGGCAGGGACAGGACGAAGGCAGCTGCTCTGTTGAGGGTGCGCACCACACATCTACCGGGGCTCGGGCGGTCACGGAGCTCAGCTAGCGTGTCACACGGCTCTGCTGCAGCCACGGACAGCCGCGGCGCTAAGCTGTGCGATTATGGTAATATGGTATACTCACGGCTCAGCACGTTTGCGCTAGCGTGGGGAGAGAAACGGGTCGGTATGAGCCAAGTCGGCAGTACTGCGCGGAGAAACACCCATAGGCCAGTCAGAACACCCTGCCTGTGGTTACAGCCGCCGTACATGGAGACTGTGCCCCCATAAAGATCAGCTGGTTGGGACGAGTCCCCGGTATCGAGTACCCGCACCGTCCTCACAGGTGCGGTAAAACACGGCTGCCTAATGTGACAGGAACATCATAGGAAGCGGTCGCCGTGACAGGACTCTTGGGAGACTGGCCGGAAGAATATGTAATCCGTTTTTTTTTTTTCAACCAAAAAGCGGCCGGGAGGGTGAGCATGATGGTAGTTTACTCAAATCCAACCCAATCACCAGAGACCAAACTCATCTCCCTAGGGATGGCAGAGTAGGTTTTGTTACTTACCGATGGCAGGCTGTACTGATTCGAGCTGCTCCACTCCTCGAACCGAGCACGTGCCGCCGCTACCTTGTTCTTCTCCCGCTGACGGCATGTCATCATGACGTAGGTCTCACGGAACCTACGGCACAAGTCATCATGATGTAGGTCTCACGGAACCTGCGGCACACGTCATCATGATGTATGTATTACGAAAGGTAAGATGACGTCACCATGATGGTATGCTTCATAAATGAACCTACCATACCTTATTACACACAAAACCCAACCCTCCCATCATGTCACGCACCCTACCCTCCACCCACCATTCTCTGGTCCAGCAAGCCCGTCGGTGCCACTCACTTATCGGGCAGCAGAGGGGACACATCCGAGCGACGGATAATCATGGCCGTGTTCGGGTTCTCCTTGCTGTAGAAGCGCACACAGTCGATGGGGTTGCGGTTGCCCATGCCGTAGGTGATGCTGATGACGTCCACCATGAGGTCGTCCGGCGAGAGGCCGTCCTCGGGCTGCAGGAGAGCGCCCACGCCGCAGCGGATCGCCTCCGTGTCGATCTGGGGGCGAGCGGCACAGACGGGGGAATCAGAGGACATATCGGGCGCGAGGGCGGCGCGCAGTCAAAGCAGCGGGCCTTTGTCACAGGCTGTCAGTGCCTAAAAGTGTCCCATCCAGCGTGTGCTTTATTATCGCATCGAGTATTTCATGACTGAGCTTCCAAAAATGTCAGACTGGTGTTGTATGTACATCTGGCTGACAAACATGTCGTGCTATCCGCGCCTTATCTTGCACATTAGTCCGTGAGATTAAAATGTGCCCAGTGACCACGCATCCCCCTGTCCACGTGTACTCGCGTCCCCGTGCGTCAGCCCACCTCTTTCCCGTCCTTAGCCGTCGGCTGGCTGGCGCAGACGAACTTGTACAGGCGGCGAGTGTGGATGTCGCGGAGCAGGCGGCGCGCCGGCTCCAGCTCCTCGGTCACGCTCTGCGCCACCAACTGCTGCACGTGGTCCGTCAGCTGGCTGAAGACACCCATGTTGTCGCACGCCTCCGACATGCGTACTCCAGGAGAGTCGGGACGCGACGGGTCCGGCAACAGCAGGTACGGGTCGGCCAGCGCCAGCAGGTCACAGAACCTGCCGCGAAACGTCAGGCAAGGTCAGGTCGCACCAGATTAGGGCATGGGTCAGGTTACAGTAGACCAAGTCAGGGCGCAGCAAGGCAAGCCACGGGAGGTGAGGCCTCTTGCACCAAACTACCTACCTAGGTAAATTCAGATTTTACCTAAATTCTCTTGCACCAAACTACCTACCAAAAAACGCTACCGTGAAAATTTACCTAGAAATTCTACCGAGCGGCATGAGAACTTACCAATTGTTAAAGTCCGACCGACTGTTTTCCTCTTGCACCGAAAGCCGGAAAGTAGTACTCGCGGAGGAAATTTTGACGTTTTGAAGGTAAATTCGGGCCTCCAAAATAACTAGCAAAAGCTTAGGTAAAAGTGAAGTCATCGCAACAGTGAAGACATTGAAAAGGTGAGTGAGATGAACTATTGTGTAAATAATGATATCAAAATGTTTCTCTTGCTTGGTAATGTTTCATCTATGCATGACGTAGCCAATAACACATAATAAATATCAATATTCTTGAGAAAATTGCCATGCACTGCAGAAGGCTTGAGACTGAGTTTGATTGCTTTTAAATATGCATTTAAAGGTGATAATTGTGGCATTAGCCCACTAGGAAAATTGAGTACGTTAGGTATCATGTTTTGTTAAAAATGCTTGCTCTCTGTAATGAATTGCAATGAAAAGTCAAAAAAATCTTCCCTTAATGTGTATGTTCTTCATTTCAAATGCTGACAATAAATAGGTGTCTTTCTATCAAAATCAAAATGTCACAATGACAACACTCGCTGGGTTAAGGGATCATTTGCAAACTAATTGACATGGTCAAAACAATAAAATTCATGTGCTCTTCAAAATAAAGAGAGGCATCTAAATATGACAAAAGCCGAGGTACATCAAACAGTCAATGTTGAAAAAGAAAAATTACAATTTCTGCTCTATGCTCTCAAGAAAACTTTAATTTGAGATTACTGGATATTTCATCTTCCATTATAGTACATCTCAAGTGGCACGTCAAAGATATTCGGTAGCTGTTAGGTAGGTTAGTTTAGTATCATATGTGCATGGAGGCATGTGATAGATCAATTACATCAGTGGATCTAAAAACAAAAAGATAAGATCATACCAGAATTTGGATCCCACACAAAAATTATTTCTTGCGTCTATGATCTAATAAGATCTGACAACAAACCAAAGCATAAGCCAATAACAGCTGTTCGCACAAGGATTTAAGCTCTACCACCATTTGCAAAATGTGAAGCGGTTTTCCAGTGTGATTTGATGTCCTTAAGTATCACAAAACTATAAATTGACAGTAGTGGCGGAACACCTTCAGTTAGGGGGGGGGGGTACTGCTGACTTTTGGTCTCATTCTTTCCATGCAATGCCCATACGGCTAATGTTAAAATGCCAAAATCAAAGGGGGGCACGGTACCCAGGTGCCCTCCCCGCAGTGTTCTAAAATTGGATATTGGTTGGGTGTGCCGATGAAGAAAAAAATCCTAGGATGAGAAAAAAGAAAGTAAGTAACTGCAGTATTTTTGCAAAATGGTGTAATGCCAATTTTTATGCTAACTGATAAACCAGGATTTCATGTCAGGATCTTGACAGGGTGTGGAACAAAAGGATGTGGGTGCATCACTGTCAAGTGACATGTGAACTGGCTGTTGGGAATACATGCAACTCTTTTCAGAGATGTCATTCATATTTCGGTTGTCATATTATGTCATTCATATAAGTCGGTCATTCATATTTTAGGGATGAAAATATTCTCCCCATTAGGTGTGATTTGCCACCAAAAAGACTGAAAAATGAAACACCGCCTCCCCATTCCGCCGCCTATGTAAATTGCTATGTGTATTGTGTAATCACACAATATCCCTTAAACACCTAATGTAAATTGCCACAAATGATCCCATTATGATTATATGGCCACAAAAAGAGAGCACCGACAGAGGTAATGATGTATGATACCAATGAAACCATCAACAAATTATATAGGTAACTGGATACATGATTGTGATGCTATTGTAGGTGAGATCAAGATCAGTGGTATTAGAGTTTAAGAACATAATTCAGATCCCAGGTCAATTTCTCGGACCCATGTGAATGACTGGCTAGTAAAATTATATTTTCATCAACAGGGCTTTTTAAGAAAGTGGCCTTGTGGAGCACTATCAATAATTTTACAGAACTTATAAATCTGCACTTGTTACTGATGTGCTCTAGCTCGCACCAACTAAACTGGAATTCAGCACCACCCAATGCAGTCACTTATAAGAACGTATTTTATGAACATTTTTCTAGGTTGACGTGGTTTGAGTCGTGAAATACAGGTTTTTATTTAATTCTTAGCCTAGGGTGCAACAGAGGGATTTCATCTGATACTTGTTTTATTTCTTCTGGTTAAAAACAGTAATATGATTTACGAAGCTTTGCCCATGTTAAATTTTGCCTGGAATCACTTGTGCACTATGCATAGGTATCATTCCAGCATGAGCTGCCATTACCTCCCCTTCCCTCACCTTACCTTCTCACAGTCAATCACGAAAAATGGCTTTGGTGACCCTTATACACAGATGTGAATTTCCCAGCCATGGGGAAATTTTATTCAGTAACACATGCCCTTGAATCCACCAAATATACCGATTCTCAACTTCAATGGCCTCGACTCCCGCCACGTGGAAATGGACCCCAACAATTCGCGCGCTAACTGCGCCAGACCGCGTTATTTCCCCCCGTCATAGAGAAATGAACTCTTCCAAGCTATCGATGTAGCAAATAACTTGTATAAATAGGCATTTAAAATTTTGTGCTATTTTCAATGTTCATGTTGCCGGTAGAAGCCACATGTTTTTGAGTTGTTTATATTTTTTGTAACATGTATTTCAATTTTATTTGTTGACGAGCAACAACTTTGTTATCGATATTCATGCAGTGGCGTTGTCAGTCAGCCGTCAGGCAGGGGCCAAAGAAGCCAAAACTCTTTGTAATTTGTTAAGATAAACAGCTTCACTCTAAAACGTCCTCAGTCACTCGTTTTGTTATAAACATATCACCTTCTGCAACTAATTAATTTCTAATGGAAGGGGCTAGTCGCTAGTCCCGTCATGTTCGGCCACGGCCCGCATGAATCCGCCTATGACGGGCGATGGCCATTCCACTGCGGAGTGGGAAGTGGGAACAGCCGTTAGATGTCTCTCTACATTTCATATAGGTGTCGCGCTAGAAGGGCACTCGGGAGCCACAGCATTGTTGACCTCTATATTCGCGGACCAAAGCGTTAGCAGATAGATAAAGACGGTCTCGTACGCTCCCCTGTAGAGAGAGGGGGGGGGAGACCCAAAACATATGTTGAAAATTAAAAAAAAAAACTCCAAACCACTCCAAAAACCAGCCTGACAGATAAGATCCTTCACCTGGCGGCTGGTGCCTCCTGTGAATAACTGCTAGTGTCTGTATCTGACCACTAGGGCCCCTCTGACTCCTCGAGGTCAATGAAATAAGGTTTCGCTCGTCAGTTTTACCAGGGCTATCAGAGGCCGTTTGAATTTTGACGATCGGCCCAGTACCTAGTTTCGGAGATAAGGAGGGGGCTCTGTAGAGTCGCCCCCCCCCCCGTCTCCAGCCACTCGCGTTATGGAAAATATCCCAGTCATGCGCGGGTTAAGGATTAAATTACCTACTTACATGTGTGATACGCAGTTTTGTCATAGTCATAGTTGCTGACGTACATGTGCCGTAAAAAAACATTGCGATGAGTAGGTGTACCCACTTGTGTCCGCAAGCCATGCTTTTAAATGGTGCCGACCACGGATCAAAACCATCTTATGCATGTTGCTTCCAGATAACGCCTATGCATTGCCGGATTGACTATGGCCGATGATGACAATTTTGAGCCTCGGGAGCGCCGCCAGCGGAGGCTCCGTCCGCGCATCAACATGGGAGCACTGCATCCAACGACATTCAGGTGACTATTTAATGTGCATGGGTGCCTGTATGCCGCATATCAAGAGTGTCATTGTATTCATTCGAAAGCTTTATATAACCTTAAATCCCGTTTCTCTTTAGGGAAAACTTCCGCCTCAGCGTCGAGGTCGCCACTGCACTGGAAGACCTCATTAGCGGGACGGTGGCGCACGACACGGGCTTAAATATGGCACTGACACCTCGCCAGCAGCTGCTCGTGTCGCTGCGGTTCTATGCTACCGGTGCGTATCTGCGCCTGGTGGGAGACGGCCACGGCGTCTCCGAGGCCACCGTGTGCCGCGCCATTCACCGCGTGACGGATGCGATAATCCACCGCTGCCCAGGGGCCATCACCTGGCCGAGCGACCCGGCGGCTCTCGGACGTCTCAAGGAGGACTTTCGACAGGTCGCCGGGCTGCCCGACATCGTGGGGTGCATCGACGGCACCCATGTACGCCTCACCGTCCCCCGAGAGCAGCGGGAGGCGTATATCAATAGGAAAGGCTTCCCGTCCCTCAATGTGATGGCTGTCGCTGCACCCGACCGCTCAATCGTTGCATTGAGCGTGCATTGTGGCGGTCGGGTGCACGACGCCCGAGTTTTAGCCACATCAGGGCTGCCCGACTATTTCCGGAATGGAAATCCTGTAATGGGCGCCATGATGCTGGGGGACAGTGGCTACGGCCTGTCACCCTGGCTCATGACGCCCATTGCAGACCCCACCACCGCCGAGGAGCGCGCATACAATAACGCTCATGCGCGCACTCGTGTGGTGGTGGAGAACGCCTTCGGCGTTTTGAAAATGCGGTTCGGGGCGCTCGAGTTCGGGCTGCGCCTGAAAAGTGTGGCCCGCTGCGTGGCGGTTATTCACACGTGCTTTATCCTACACAATATGTGTATCAAGGGCGGTGACTTCGGCGAATGACTCGGACCACTGAGGCAAGATGAAGGAATGGTGCAGGAGCCAGCTGACGGGGCGGCAGAGCTGCCGGCGGCAGGCGCCGAGAGGCGGGCGGGTCTTGTGCGCCGCAATGACCTCG